AGCTGCTAAGGGGGGAGGGGGAGGGCCAGCTCCCTAGACCACCACAGTGGTAGGGGCCAGGGCATCTTTCCCTTGCCCTCTCCATCAAGTGGCGGACGAAGGGGGTGCGGCCAGCCATCCCACTCACACCTTCAGGGCCAGCTCCCCCGAGCCTCTGCCGACAGGGTCAGCTCCGCTGTGCGGCCCAGGCGAGGAGCAGGGCCTGCTTTCCTGAGAGCTGCAGCTGGTGAGGGGTTGAATCAGGTCCCCCACCTGCTGCAGGTGGCAACGGGTGAGGGGAGCAGGGCATCTGTCCCTCACCCATGCCACCACATGCCACCACATGGCATACGAGAGGGGTACGACCTGCTCTCAAGACTGGTGTGTATTAATAAGAACATAAACATGTGTTTATTGTGCTTAAAAAACAGTGTGTGGAAGTGACATTCTAAGAACTTAACATAGGGGCTGAAGGTTCTTAGGGGGATTGGGGCACTTGCTGCTCTTGCAGACGTCCTGGACTCCAATCCCAGCACTCACATGGCCACTCACAACCCTCTGTTAACTCCAGTTCCGGGGATCAGACGCCAGGTGCCAGGCAAGCACACAGTGCCCTTATGTACATATAGGCAAAACACTTACACACATAAAACAAGCATAAGTAGATCTTCACAAGACTTCAATGTAGTACTTAGGCATAATTTTTCTCTATTTCATTTGCGTGGGCATCTGTGAAAACATAATACTTTTCTGCTCTGTCTGAAGGAGAAGTCAGACCTTGTGTGCTGAGTGGTCTTCCTTTTTTAATTGGGAAACTGAATGTGTGTGTGTGTGTGTGTGTGTGTGTGTGTGTGTGTGTGTGTGTGTGTGGTGTGTGCACATGTTCTGGGAGCAGCCAAGAAGACTGCTCCTTGCCTTGCCTGCCCGCTGTCTTCATTAGGGAGATCTAGGCCCAAGGAAGCCATTTCAGGTGGCTGTCCTCTCGGGCATGTCCACCTGATTAGGATCCTCAGAGAGGAATTGCCTGCTTCAGGTTGGCCTGTGGGCTGTGGATGCATCCGTGGGGGATGTTCTTGACTGATGGGAATGACATGGTCTGGTAACAACCCAGACCGACAAAAGGAAGGGGGAGGACGATTATTTGCTGTTTGCTTTGTGGGCCTCCACCAAGTTCATGCACCCATCGCTGCTACCGATTCCTTTGCTGACACTGGACCCAGCTTCTTCAGGCCTCCAGCATGGACTGAGGACTAGTGACTCTCCGGGAACCCACTAGGCCTTTGGTACCAGTGGTCATCCAACCTCGTGGACCAAGCAACCTCTGGCTTCCCCTCTCTGCAGCAGGACACGTGCTGTTGGATTCTTTCCACCACATTTTGTTATCCAGTAGAATAAATCCACATCTAAAAGACGAACTTGCACATTTGTCTTTCTTTTTGGTTTCTGGAGCACCCCGGTTAATACATGGAGGCTGGGCCTCACTGGGATGAGAGAGGAGATGGGTTTAGCATGTGGACGGCAGTGCTGTGGCAAGAGGGAGCAGCCTGGGCTTTGGTGAGACTTCCCTGGAACAGCAATTCTGCAGCGCTTCGAACCACCCAGGGAGCAGCCAGAGGGCCTTAGCCACCCTCTGGTCCGAGAACCGAAGAGGCAAAGACCAAAGTTGCTGCATCCCAACAGGCTTGACTTTGGAAACCGACTAGTGGCGGCAAGGGAGTGGAGAAAGGACAGATACACAGACACGTACAGAAACACGGGACAGGCGGGCCTTGTGCGCTTGGATGGAGTGGCATCGGCTACCTCACCAACCTGGAATCTCCGCACGTTTATTACATTTAGCACAGGGGGAAGGGTTGGCTAGTCTGCTGGGAGGTCTCTGTAGGTGAGCAGTCTCAGAATGTAAACTTCCAGGAGGGGGAAGCTGCAGCTGCCTCTCTTTGCACACACTGGTCAATTTTGTAAACACTTCTGCTTGGACCAGAGAAAGGCTTTGCCTCTCTAAGTTTCTGCGGGTCCGAGGTCTTGGTCCTTAATGTGGCCATGCCCATGTCAAACAGTGAATGTGTATTCACTCAGGACTTCATTCCATCTTTACACACTCACCCAAGGCATTCTTGACTCCATACACAAGGTCATGGCTAAGGACTGGGACCCTCATTCCTAGACACAGGAGGTCCTGGAAGGATCAAATTGAGAACAGAATGGCGTGAATCCAATAATAATGGACAATGAACATCTCACCAGGTTAAAGTAAATAAAATCAGACAGCATTTCCTGAGATCTGAGGGTGATGCGATTTTGATCTTATTATTTTGAAGAATTACAGAAAAAAGGACTAGAAATGTAGCTTGGTTGGTAGAACACGTGTGTAGCATGTACCAGCCACTGGCTTCAACCCTCAACACCACACACACACAAATCTGTAGATGACATACTTCACTCTGGCATCTGCATCTCTTATAGAGATGTGGAGGGTTGGCTCGGCTCCTGGCCTCTCCGTGATACTCTCGCCATGCTTTCTGAAACCTTGGCCATCCATGTTGCCTCCCCCTGGGCCACAGGCCCCACAGGCCCTCGGTCAGATGGAGTGTGAATGCACAGAGGAGAAGGGCCTTCGTCAAAGACTTCGCGGTGTGTGGGGTTTCCCACCTCTTTGACCTTGTTGTTGGCTGAACAGCTTTAGTGAGAGGAGCCCAGGAGATCAGGTTGAAGCCCTATGCAGGCCCGTTGGTGGGACCCTGATCACCAGCGTCCCCTCTTCTCCTCCACGTGGGATTCGTAGTTGCCCAGATTGGAAGGGTGGAGGGTGGGCAGGCCTACAGAGCTGGCCAGGCCAGGCTGTTCCTGTGTGGGAGACTTTTAAAGCTGGTCACTACAGTTTGTCCTCATCCTGTCTCCCACAGACACCACACAGCAACCGCTCTCAAGTTGGCCCTCTGGCCAAAGCTCCCCTCCTCCCTCATCACCCCAGGCCCTGCCTCCAGTGGCAGCCCCAGCTCCCCACATCCCCGCCAGCCACTCCCCCTAGCTTTGTCCCTCATCTCCAGCTCAGTAGGAGAATTCCCAAGCCACTGTCACGTTCCAGGGTCACAGGGTGTAGGGAGGACTGAGAGAGTGGACACCGTGTTTGAAGGGCTGACAGGTTTGCAAACCCCTGCTCAGCCACGGACCACACTGGCAGCATGAACGCACACACCCACATCCACTACATATGTAACCCACAGGCTATGGGTACCATCTGAGCACACACACTCACAAAACATAATTTAAGAATTAAAAAGAACACAGCAAACCAGGAGACAGACCTCGCTATCTCCAAATCTGGTGAACTGCTTGGCCCTCGGAAGGGCGCTGACTGCCCTCCCACGTGACCACTTTCATAGCATCACTCAGTGCGAGCTATTGATTTTCTATAATCATCTACTCAGTGGAGTAATCGTTATTATTTATTAAGCCTGCAGATGTTTATTAAGTATTATTCTGTATATAAAGCTAGGTTCTAAAATCTCTAGTTCTCCTCAGTGTCGGGTCCTTTAATGAGTCAGACCTTGACTTTGAGCAAGGCTTCATTGCCCAGAATAAAGGAAAATATTCCCAGCATATCCCGGAGCTGGCTTTGGTGGGAATGGGTTCCGGCCAGTGGACTGAAAACAGCGTGTGCCACTTTCTTCTGAAGGTTTCCTTCAAAGAAATAGCATCACACTTCACCCCACTCCCACCCACACGCCACAATGGTAGGAACCGGAAGTGCTCCCGAGTCAGCAGATGAAACCGTCTGAGAGGATGTGGAGGGACCCAAGCTCCCTGCTGACTGCGAACCTGCTGTACTTCACTGTACACAGAAATGGACAAGAGACAGAATCAGTGTGTTTGGGAATATTGTTCGGGAGCAACACCTACTAAAACAGCTGAATTAACATCTTAACATGGCAGGTGAAATCCTGTGCTAGGGTTGTAAACTTTAATAGTCTGTTTTCTGTCGCTAGTAAAAATATCAAAGGCTGGAAAACAAATTCACGGAAATTCCTTGACTAGGCAGGCTCACCTGAACCACCTCACGCAGGGCCTCGTGGTGGGTGGCATCCCAGTAGTGAAGATCACATGGCAAAGCAGGAATCCAGAGAGGACCAGAACTCAATCTCATTCTTGTTACAATGATCCGCTTTCTTGGGATCTAAGCAGATCCCTCACATCTTCTAGCTTTGAAATCCTAATTACCTTGCACCAAGTCCTGCCTTGGTGTGTGTGTGTGTGTGTGTGTGTGTGTGTGTGTGTGTGTGTGTGTGTGTGTGTGTGTGTGTGTAAGAGGTTAATGTCAGGTGTCTTTCCCATTTGCTCTCCACCCTATTTTTTGAGTCTCTTAATGCATCTGGAATGCACTGATTTGTCTACACAGGCTGGCCAGCGAGCCCTACGGTCACTGCGTCTTGGCCTCCCCAGTCTAGGATTACAGATGTTTGCTACTGAGCCTGGCTGTTTTTTAAAATGAGTGTTGGAGATCTGAATTCAAGTCTTTATGTTTACACAACAAATACTCTACCCACTGAGCCATCTGCCCATCTCTAGGTAGCTCCACCTGTTAAAGGCTCTGCCATCTCCCCACACTGAGGAATTTCTAGTCCACCATCTTCTGAAGGGCACAGCTCGAGCCAAGTTCCTGGCATCTCAGTGAGAGAAATAAAGATGACACATGGACAGTAGATGTGAGAACCCCACATGAACCGATGAAGGCCACAGGAGAGCTTGCTGTCCTTCAGAGCACCCGAGAGAGTCACCCGCAATGACAGCAGAGGCAGCAGCCATCCGAGGGAGCTCGGAGGCCTGCAGAGGGAGATGCAGGCTGAGGCCTTGATGTGGAACGTACGGGAAGGCTAAAGATTTCATGAGACATACATCTGTGTGTGAGAAAAAAAGAGAGAGAGAGAGAGAAGAGAGCTAAGACTGAATAACTGAAAAACTTGAATATTTCTTCACGTGTGTTCACGTGTGAATTAATGAACTAATCATGGATCTCAAAAGTCCAGACAAATCTACTTCACTCTCGTCCTTCCCAGGAGGGAAGTCATGCCTGGTATAGGCGGCGGCAGCTTCCTCACACTCCCATTTTGTGCTGAGACATCTGCTGCACACTGTCCTTCAGTCTGGCTGACCTTGTACAAATGCCTCCTGTTCTCAGTCACTACCCGCAGCCCTGCTGATAAAAGGAGGTTCATCCCCGTCTCAGGGCACGCTGCAGCTCAGCTGCCACCTTCCCCTGGGCACTGCTGCCATGAAGCTGTTTCTCCTGCTTCTCGCCATATCTGTGTCGACGGAACTGGTGATGTCAGGTAACTCGGGTTCTTTTAGGATTCCGGGGTCTGTCTCTGGCTTTCTTTCCTTCACTCTCACAGGGGCGACACCCAAGTCATTTCCCATTTCACACAGCTTCGAAGGGTACCCCAAGATGCTGTCATGCATGCTGCTCTCTCTCTCTCTCTCTCTCTCTCTCTCTCTCTCTCTCTCTCTCTCTCTCTCTCTCTCTCTCTCTGTTTTGCTAAGTGGCTGCATGAAGGATGTTTTTGGGGGTCTGATACCTTGGGGCAAGAGTGGAATTCTGGTGGGAACTTAGGAGATGGATGAGGGGTGAAGGATTGGGTTCAGGTTGGGGATTTGGTTAGGGGTGATTCCTGATGTGGGAGCACCTAGGGGCTGGGGTGATAGTGTCAACATGAACTGGAGGAGAGGACCTGCATTTCCTGGTGGCCTGGTACAAGATGGAGCGGGGGTGGGGGTGGGTTGGGGGGTGGCTTAAATACAGCTGCTGCTGGCATGAATCTGGACTTGGGCTGAGGGTGGGGGTAAGCGCCTGGTATGCAGGGTGCCCACTTGGTGGTGGGCAGCTGGGCTTTGGGCTAATGACTTGATTGGATTTGGGTTTGGCTTGGAGTGAGGCCTCCAGGAGCGTTGATCTGGGTCTTGAGTTTTAATTAGATGAGTATGAGGTCAGGCGGACTGGACAGTGGGCTGTGGCTGGAGCTGGGGCTTGCTGGCTTCTGTCACCAACTCTTAGGGAGCTGGCTTTGTTGTAATGTGACTGAGTCTCCTCAGTCCACTCATGCACAGATGGGCATTGTTCCTTTCCCATCATTCCCAGGCTCCACAGGTGGAACCCTCCTTCACACACAGATTCTGGAGGAAGGACTAGGAAGGGGGGGGGTGCAGGATGATAGATGGGGAGAAACTTTGAAAAAAAATTTTCCTTGGCTGGACATGGTGGTGCACACCTCTAATTCCAGCACTGGAGGCAGAGGCGTGGGGCATCTCTGTGAGTTTGAGGCCAGCCTGGTCTACAGAGAGAGTTTCAGGCCAAGAGCTGAGATTCTGTCTCAAAAATATAAAAGAACTTTCCTGAAAGCTTTCCAAGAGCAGTCACCTCTGCGCCCTCCGCTGGTTCTTGTCTGTCACTTGGGCAATACTAACACACGCCTAACAATTGTTCTATGCCCCAAAGATGCATGTTGGAAGGACGGACACTGTGGTGATGTGCAAGGATGATGAAGAAAGTGTCATATGTTCCAAAATCACAAACACCGCTGTGTTCCTGAACGTTGCTTAACACTCCCCTACTGTCGCCATTGATGGGATCCTTGACCAGACCACAGAAATCCATACAAAGAAGAAAAGTTCCTACTCCTGATAGAAAGGACAGTGCTTCTTGTCCCTTAGCCTCTACACCACATTAAAACTCGCAGAGTTGTTTTCTGTGTCCGTCAGTCATAATGGGGTGGGGTGGGGAGATGGAAGGATGGGGTTCAGAGGCAGTAGAGAGGAGCCGTCAGGGCTGGGCCTTGGTAATGGAGTGAGGAGCACAGTGTTGGGGAGGGTGTCACCTGCCAGCCCCAGGAGTGGCTGTTGAGACATAGATAAATGGAGGGGAGCATGGGGTGGGCAGAACCATAGACTTAAAGGAACCCTGGGTGCCTAGAGTGTTGGTTCATCTTGGTCAAGGGTGGACAGGGGCTGAGTGGAAGCTAAATCTTTGGATTTCAGCTGAAATACCTTGTAATGCTCCAGAGCTCATAGCCCCAGGGGCCAGAAAGTTTCCAAATATGAAAAATACCATTTATTCAGACATTGATGAACTTGTTCATGCTCCATTTTTAACGTTTTCTCATGCATTTGTTTGTTCATCCCAGCTCTGCCTCTTACCACTAAGGGATCCTGTTTATAACCCTGTCAGAGCTCCAGCATCTTGTTTGGGGGAAAGCCGAACAACAACCTTATGTAGCTCAGGGTTACAATAAGAATTGAATGGGTGGGGCTGGAGAGATGGCTCAGAGGTTAAGAGCACTGACTGTTCTTCCAGAGGACCCTGGTTTAATTCCCAGCACCCACATGGCAGCTCACAACTGTTGGTTAACTCTAGTTCTGGGGACCCAACACTCTCACACACAGACATACATACAGGCAAAACACCAACGCTCATAAAATAAAAACAAATAAGTTATATAAAAAAATTGTTAAACGGGCACAGAGCACAGGGTCCAAGGGCTCAGTAGATGTCATCTATGGCCATCTTGTCAGTTTCCACAGGCCTTTGAAGAGTAAGCACTGTCAGGGGGTGGCAAGGGACAGACGTCTACATCACTTGGATGGATAATTTAACATGGGGGAGACTAGAACTGCGCAATTTAAGGATCCTGATGCGGAATCTGCGGGACTGGATGTCTTGGGGCCTCATCTATACAGCATAGTTGTTCTCCCCTGAGCTATGCTGTTGGTGAGGTCAAGGACCTAGGGGTGCTTTATGAAGCATGACACATGCCATTGAGATAGATGGGAGTTCACTATGATACAGGAAGAGAGTAGGAAAAGAGACACCCTCCCCCCCACTCCTGACCCTGCCTTTCCTCTGGGCTCCCTCTAAGCTCCTCCCAACTGGGTGAGGAGATATGGGGCCAGTGATGCCCACCCTGCCTCCAGGCTTGTGCTTTGATCAGTGGGGTCTGGTGCTGTCTGTCCAGAGAATCCTTGAGGCTACTTCCTGAAGCTACATGGGCTGTTCCCTAGGTTCACCCACAGAACCTTCTGGGATGTACCACTAGGCAGGGACAGAGCGGTCAGTCATGTTCTGTTTTCAGGGGCCACGGCCGGGCTTGGACCACATGTTCTAATGAGCAAGCGACTCCTTAGTGTGTGCAGATCTGAAGATGTGAAGGGGAGTGCTGGGTTGAGGGTGGGCAGCTGCCCTAAGATCTGCCGTGCTTCTACAGGAACTCTGAGGAGTCCAAGAATTATGAATCCTAACTAGGTCATCCCAGAGGGCTGTTTCACAAAAGAGCATAAAATATATTTTACTTATGTGTTCCTCTTGCTGGCTTGATTAATCACTTTTAAGTATCCAGACGTACGGTGTAAGGGACTTTATTTGTATTTTCCCCAAAATTTTGATCTGATCTTTGTAGGCTAATAATTGCTTTTCTCCAAACTAAGATCTGATTCATTTTACAAACTGCCATTCCGTGTGTGTGTGTGTGTGTGTGTGTGTGTGTGTGTGTGTGTGTGTGTGTGCACATGATGAATGCATATTGTGCATGTGTGTGAGTGTGCATTTATGTGCACATGGTGAATGTATGCGTGTGAGCTTGCCCGGAGATTGACATGTCAGGTGTCTTCCTCTATCAAGTCTCCACATTTTTTTGTTAAATTATTTGTAAATTTGTAAATTTTATTTTATGAATCTGTGCACCACATGCATGCCAGGTATCCTCAGAAGCCAGAAGACAACATCAGATCCCCTGGAAGTAGAGTTATAGATGGTTGTGAGCCAGCATGTGGCCCTAGGGATTGAACCGGTGTCCCCTGCAAGAGCAGTAAGTGCTCTAAACCACTGAGCCAGCTCTCCGGCTCCTCCACACTACTTTTTGAGACAGAGTCTTTGACTCTGGAGCTCATTTTTAAAATTTTTGTGTCTGAGTGTTTTGCCTGTGTGTGTTGTGGTGTGTGTGTGTGTGTGTGTGCATATGTACCAGTGCATGCCTGGTGCCTACCAAGTTCAGAAAATGGATTTGGATCCCCTAGAATTGGAGTTATGGGTGGTTATGAGTCACCATGTGGGTGCTGGAAACTGGACCCAGGTCCTCTGTAAGAACAGCAAGTGCACATAACCACTGAGCCATCCCTCCAGCCCCCGAGCTCATGGTTTTAAGCGGAGTGTTTTAATGACTCCAATCTGTGGGCGGAGAGGCGGTTCAGTGGATAAAGCACTCGCTGTACAAGCTCGAGGTCTCGAGTTCAGATCCCCAGACCCCACATAAAGCTGAGCATGCTGGCGAGTCTGTCATCTCAGTGCTGGGAGGGCAGAGACAGGAGGATCCCTGGGGGTCCAGCTAAGCCTTCCAGCCCAAATCCCCCAGGTCAGGTTCCACTAAGACCCTGTCTCAAGAAACTAGGTAGACAGCGTCTGAGCACAACACCCAAGGTTGATGTCTGGCCTCCACCTGTACAGACAGACAGACACACACACAAACACACACACACACACACACACACACACACACACACACACACACACACACACACACACACACACACGCCCCTCCACACAGCTGGGGACAACAAAAATGCTCCTAAATATAGGAATGATTAAAGAGACTATGCTATGTGCGTCTGTGGGGGGGTACAGTACAGTTCAGAAGGAGCAGGCACGAACCATTGGTGCTCTGAACACAGGTTTGGTTGATGGTCTTTTTAAAATTTGGCTCGTGATTATCCTGGTTCTGATGAGTGATTTTTGATCGAGGCCTGGGCATTTTGTGCAGTATAAAGATTCTGGGCTCTGCCCTGACGTGGAGGCAGGGGTGGGGAGTGGCTTCTCCTTGCTACAGTGTGCTTGGAGGTTCCAGCTCCCAAGTTTGTGTCCTTTGATGCCACCCTAGCTGGGAGGGGCATTCTCTCTTCTGTGTGTCCTCCAGTGGCACTGTGTGGCCTGGTGGCCCTGGAAGTGCTGCATGATCCTTTGGGTATATGCCAGGTGACCCGAGTCACATGACAGCTCTGTTTTTAGCTGTTCAAGAAGCCTCCAGGCTCATTTTCACAGGGGCTGCACCAGCTCATCCTTACCAGGCGTGGACAAGGGTTCCCCTTTCTCACATTTCCATGATGGCTATGGATATCCAATACTTTCACAAAGACTTACTGGTAACTGGGCGGTGGTGGCGCACACCTTTAATCCCAGCACCCGGGAGGCAGAGCCAGGCGGATCTCTGTGAGTTCGAGGCCAGCCTGGGCTTCAGAGTGAGTTCCAGGAAAGGCACAAAATTACCCAGAGAAACCCTGTCTCAAAAACAAAACGAACAAACAAACAAACAAAAAGACTTACTGGCCATTTGTCAGTTATCAAAAGCTCATTGGCCTATTTACTGATTGGCAGTTTTGCTTTTTGGTGTCTGCAGTTTTAAATAAAGATTTATTTATTTTATTTTATGTTTATGGGTATTTTACCTGCATGTTTGCCTCTGCACCGCATGCATGCCTAGTGCTTGTGGAGGCCAGAAGAGGGTGCTGAATCCCCTGGAACTGGAGTGACTAATGGTTGTGAACCATCATGTGTGTGATGGAAATCAAGCCTGGGTCTTCTGGAAGAGTAACCAGTGCTCATGGCTACTGAGCCAACTCTCTAGCCCATGGAGTCGGTTCTGGCCACTCTTTATATAGTCTAGATAGTAACCCTTGGCTTGAGGTTTAGCTGACAGAGATTGCTCTCTCGTCATTGTCCGCTCTGCTGATAGTTTATTTTGCTATGCAGGAGCCTTTTCGTTTAATTTAACCCCATTTGTTAATTCTTGGGGTTACTTCCTGTGTGGTTCGCATCCTACTGAGGAAATTCCTGTGCCTATATCCTCAAGTGTTTTCTCCTGGCGCTTTCAGTGCCTCTAGTTGTACACCAAGGCCCCTGATCTGTTTGGAAAGGACTTTGGTGCAGAATGAGAGATGCAGATGTAGCTTCTGTTCCGGCCGCTTCTCACTAAGAACCAGCAGCACAGTTACTGAATAAGCCTTCTCCCAGCGATGTTTGTGAGCCCTTGGCCAAGGTGTCTCTAGCTGTGTGGCTTTGCCTCTGGCTCCTGTGCTCTGCTCCATTCCCCCCCCCGCCCCGTCTATTTTTATGTTGTCTTTCTCACTTGAACATCCAGAGCCTTCAGCTGCATGGAGCAGGACAAACGAGGGAAGGAAATTGACTCTGTCCCTCTTGACTGTGGTGCTCACTGTCACCCTGAGGTCTTTTCTGTCCTCCCGACTCTCCGATCTATGTCACTGGTGAGCAGAAATTAATTATCGTCACTTTTTTCCCCCCTTTTTTTGGCCAGGCAAAAATCCTGTCCTTCAGTGCATGGGTAACAGAGGTTTCTGTAGGTCTTCCTGCAGAAAGGATGAGCATCCGTACCTCTACTGCAGAACTTATCAGACGTGCTGCCTCCAGCCCTACGTGAGGATCAGCCTTACCAGTGTAGAAGACAACACCGCCTGGTCTCATGAGAAACAGTGGCCCAAAATACCGTGAATGCTGGTGAGCGCCGTGCCCGATCTTCCAGGGAAGCCCTCCCTGCTGCCCGCCTCCTTATTAAAATTAATGCACTTGACATGGCTTGTGTGTCCTTCTGTCACTGGAGAGAGATTGGGCTTTGCGTGGTGAGATGTCTGTCCCATTTGGATGCAACCCTGTGGGAGAAGGGTCCAGGTCCCTGAATGACTTTCAGAGAGGCGCCCGAGCAGCCACTGAAGGTGGGAGCGTGCCGTGGAGAGCCAGGAGGGCAAGATTTGGGATGAGTCATGACAGTCTGTGCCATGGAGGACTCACAGGAGGGATGGGGTAGGTGTGTAGTCTTGCAGACACACACAGTTGGTTAAGCCTGGAAGAGCTTCTAAGCCTAGAAGAGCTGTTGGATTTGGAGTGAGCTGTCTGATCATGTTACGAGGCTGGGATCAGCTTGGTGGTTACTGCAGAAGGAATTTGAACAATACATGCCCTTCACCATGATTGTTAAGGTCTTTTAATTCCTAAAATTCTAGAAATCTTTGTTGTGGGAATTTGTTCTGTTTAGCTAATGGCTTTGGGGTACAAGCCCTAGGGCGTGGCTTTGGCTGCTTACATGACTCCTTAAGAGCTGAGAGAGAGGGGTCCTGTGCTCTCTTGGGTGGCCAGGACTGGGTCAAGTGTGGAGTTGGGGTCAAGTGCAGTTGGTCCCCATCCCCTCCCCGTCCCCCGACAGCAGGACCAGCAGTGACGTCTTCCTTGTTCTGTATCAGTGAGTCTACATCTCCGTTGTCACCCTTAATAAATTAATAATAGACCACTGTGGATTGTCACATTAGGGCTTTAAAAAAACCCTATATTTCTAGATAATCCATTCTTATTGTGTGTGTATATGATGTGTGTCTGTGTAAGACTGTCCTGTCTCTGCTTCTTATACTCCTGCTGTTTTTTTGTTGGTTTTCCCCTTGCCCCCCCCCCCCCCCCGCCGCATGCCCGCCCGCGGGGGGGGGAGGGGCGTTATCCATGGAGTTTCATTTTCTGTTAGTTGGCCCTTGTAGTCCTCTGGGGTTACTTCTCTCTTCTGAGAATTAAAACCTCTCTGCTTTTCTCAGAAAAGGCTGAAACTTCTACATCCATGATGACAAGTAAACTCCCTGAACCATTTCAAGTTTTGTCGTTGCTCAGTGGGAAGTTTCTTGAGTGAACTCACCTCTGAAAGCAAGTAGTCCCTGGTGGCATTATGCTTTGTAATGACATCCCAGTGGCCTCTGAGTTCACCAGTGCATACACACCACACACACACACACACACACACACACACACACACACACTCATCAACCCACATCTGTAACCAACACAATTCGTCCGAGCTACATAGGCGCAACTCTTTGCTCTGGTTGCTGGCCCCACGTCTGCTCAGTGTGGCACACCCGTATTTAGGGAAAGTCCCCAGAGTCCCTTCCATGCTACCCCTTGTCCCCTCATACGACAGAGCCAATGATCTGGAGAAAGTGCCCGCTCCAGATTTATGTCTGGAGTCAGGAAGACTATAGGTCTGATCTTCTCAGTGAAAATAGTCTTGGATTAAGAGCACTTGAGTTTCATCTCTCCAGTCCCTGAAGCAAGCTTTGACATCCTAACAGCTAATGTCATAAATGCAAAGATTTAGGATTTTGATTTTGTTGTTGACGTTGCTTTCATCTGAAGGGAAACTAATACCTGGGAGCTATTCCACAAACTCTCGTCAGGAAGACAGAAGACAGAAGGAAACCCCAGGGTGGAAATTAATTCTTCCTCAAGCGCTTCAGCTTGCAGAGAGATCACCAGCAAATAAGAAACACGGGGGAAATTCAGTCGTCCAGAACCATCCCTGAACATGTCAGGAGCGTCAAAGACTTCACCGCTGGAAACATTTGGATGCTTTACACAGTGGTTCTTTATCTAGAATGATAGACTCATGGGGAGTGAGTGGGGCTTATGGGCGTTTCAGTGCCTTAGATATACAACATAGTCTGTCACTCTTGGGACACGAGCGAGTGACATCTGAGAAGTCATGAGCTCTCAGACTCCAGAGACAGAGCTCTCCAGCCACCTCTCAGGCCTGTTCTTTCCTCGTGTCTTACATCCACGAATTCTGAATCAATCTCTGTGTTAAGTTCATCCATGAACTCTGAGTTTAGATCGTACTCCATTGTCGTGGTTTCCTCCGTTGTCCAGCTGACCCTGACCGAGGCCTTTGGCTTGTTGGCCCTCATGATCGGAACGCAGCAGACTCGGTGATTTTTACATGTGTCCTGTATCGTTTCTCCATCTTCGCAGTTTTTCCTGCAGTTCCCCGAACTGTTCAAGCATTTTTTCTCACCACTGTAGGCTAAATAATCAAAGGATAGACCAGTGATTTCAAGTTACTGCTGCTTGGGGGCTACATAGATCTGGCATTCCACAAATAACTCTGGGCCGCGTGGGAGGACTAGGCTCCTCACTGCAGCCAGCGTGTCGGGTTTCTTCTCAAAGTAGCTATTCCCGCCCATGTTTAGCTATCGATCAAAGTGTGATTGATCACTCATCAATGAAAAAAAACTTACTTATAAGGCACTGGGGACAGCCACTACAAAGCTCCCCAGACCTGTGTCAAGCTACCCATATCAAAAACTCACCTGGGCCTGGTGAGATGACGCCACAGCACTTGCCTCTGAGCCTGATGGACCTGAGTTTGGCCCTCAGCCCTATCAATGGAGGGAGAGGCCTGACCGACTTCCGCAGGTTTTTTTCTTGGACCTCCATGAATACACCGCGGCACACACACAAGTGCTCCCCGCCCCCCTCCCCGCCACCAATAAAAATAAGTAAATAAATACATAGAAAGAATTCTATAAACAATTCACCTCATGACTGCAATTGCAATGTTATTGGCATGAGTCTAATTTCTTCGAACACATTCTACTTTAAAACCACATTCGTGGGCACATATCAAACACACTTGTGTTTTTAGAGACTAATAATGGAGTGGATAGCTGTGCCTCTACACCCCGACTGACAAACTGAACATTCACCGGAAGCTTAGACTAGTGCAGGGCTTCCTGTGAGGAGACTGTGCTGGGGCTGAACAGACTGGGGCTCTAGAACTCCAATGTGCTCCTGCGGGGCCCACAGAATTGCTGCTGGAATGCGGGTTCTGGCCCAGCAGGTGGGGCAGAGCATGTGTGCTCTTTTTCTAAGAAAAATCTAGAGGGTGTCAATATTTCTAATCTGTAGACCACACCTATCTTAGGACATTGAAAACAAACATCGAAAAGTTCCATGGACTCAGCACCCCAATTCTGATTTCTGGCCAAATGCAATAAAATTAGGATTAAAAATCCTCAAAGAAAATTTAGATGGTATTTTGTGTAAAATGTTCCAGAAACTAGAAAACAACCCCACAAACAAACAAACAAACAAAAAAAGCTATGTGGTTTATTTTATGAGGCTTGTGATGTCTTTGTTCTAAAATGAGAAAGTTGTAGATCTATTTTCTTTATTAATACAGATTTAAACTTTTTTAAATGTGTATCAAAAATACATTAATATAGCACCATCAAGTAGGATTCAACCCTGGATGCAAATAGAGTTAATGTTAGAAAATCTACTAAAGAAACTACTTTTGTAGAATTAAGGTCACATAATTATCTGGATATAGAATGACAAGATAGATTCTTCTTAAATTTTTATCTTTTGTAGACTTAAGGAGGTAAGTCATATAATTATCTGGATACAGAGTGACAAGATAGATTTTTCTTAAATTTTTATTCTTTTGAGACAGGGTCTCACTATGTAGCTCTGGCTTGCCTAGAACTTGCTAATAGACCAGGCTGGCCTCGAACTCACAGAGATCCCATTTGCCTCTGCCTCCCGAGTGCCGGGATTAAAGGAGTAAACCACAACCAGCTGGATTTTCCTTCATTTAGTGAAGTTTGTATATCAAATCCAAATCTGATGGAGAAACTTTAATTTCTATTGAAAATAGAAAAACAAAACATACTCTATTATCACTATTGTCCAAATAATAGTAGTGGGACGTGTCACTATTAAGAGGAAAGGGGAAAAAAGTGTAAGAATTGGAAGTAGAGATAAAATCATTACACATGATTATAATATTTTAAAAAAACAAATAAACAATTGTAATTAATAACAGTTAAACCAGACAAAACTATTTACAAGAATTAACAGTATTGCCCTGCATGAACAGCAGTAGCAAATGCTCTTCACAGTTATGAGGAATCATTTTTTATCTTTCTTTCTTTCTTTCTTTCTTTCTTTCTTTCTTTCTTTCTTTCTTTCTTTCTTTCTTTCTTTCTTTCTTTCTTTCTTTCTTTCTTTCTTTCTTT